GTTGTCTACCAGCGCCGCTTGAACAAATAAAATATAATATATTAATTATTACTGTATATTATACCATGGTTTACTCCACGGTCTTAGATCACTCTAACACACACGCGTGACGGACAATAGGTGACATTTCTGAACGGTTTTCTATTGGCGAACTTTGCGCGTCCATTTCTCGAGTTTCATTGGTCGTTATTATACTGTCGATAATAATTTAAGTCGTTCAAATAATCAATAGCATGATGATAATATTGTTAAGTACAAGGGTTATTTTTTCATATCACAGCCTCCTCCTCCTCAGACGCGCCATTATACGTTTATAGCGACAACTGTATACAGCCGTTTTCCGACCATGTCGATGGGCATCGTACGGCCACAGAATCAGAATGGACATTGATAAGTAAACACCGGATTTGTATGCATTTAAAATTTTAAAATATGCAATGCAAACATGCACTAAAAAAGTCAAAATATGTAAGAAAAAGATGCAAAAGATGCAAATAATGTAATTTGTTAGATTGTAATATAATTTTTAATCATTGATACATTGTAAAAAAAATGTATTAAAATTAAATAGTAGATACATTGGTACAAAAGTGCGAACAATTTAATATAGTATGTAAATTGGAAAAGCAACAACCTAACCTATTTTAATATTCTTTGAGATTAATATTTTATATTAATATTATATAAACGTACCTATAATCTATTTTTTTCTCGACCCCTTTTTAGATCGTTAGATGTACATTTGTACGGTTTTTTGTTTATTATTTCAATGTGCTTGAAGCGTGTGGACCACGACTGGCCTTGAGCCCTCAGCCGGTGGAGGGTGGATGGGCGGGTGGGTAGGTGGCCCTATAATATTATAACATGCGCGTTCGTTGGCCCGCTTCCATTTCAATTACGTAGGCGGGATCGGCGGCGGGAGGATCGAGAGATCGATATAGTTACGGGAATAAAAAAAAAATACTCCGACACGCATGCTAAGAAATAATCGGCTTTCCCGTTTTAATTGTTGGCGACGACCCACACGCCCCTTGTGTACGAGAGGTTTATCATAATTTTATATGGCTATTCGCACAAAATATTATCGTCATTGGGCATGCGGTCGTCGTCGTTTTATATCGTATTCTAAACTATAACGCCATCGTTATGACATGATTGTGACGATATCATTAAGTGCCACTGACCGATGACATAATATTATAATGATTTATAAATTATCTATTTAGTACTGTAAATCAAAATAGTTTGTTTTTAAAAACTACCCGTCAACATTTTCAAAATGATCATAGATCAACATTGAGCGCAGCTCTTGCCGCATAAAAATCTGATCTGTTTATCTGAAATGACCCACTGCTGTTATATAGCTGGTACCTATATAACCTACACAGCAGAGATATTTAAATCGTACCTAAACTATGGACGGGTATTACATTCAATAACGTTTCTCGATAGGTGGTTGTGCTGGATTTGAGTTCAAACAGTATAGTATTCTGTTCCAAAAAGAGAAACGATTTCGAAGTTTTGGAGTAGGGACCGTTATACCGTGCACGTGTGGTATTTAATTGTGATTGTAATTATTATATTTTAACGCACGGTCAGTGCAGCACGTGATTAATGTAATTCGATAATAAATCGTTGGCCAACATCAATAGGAAACGTGTGGGTGATTTCTCTGGAATTGGCCGCTGCGCTTTACGTTCAAATGATATCATATCATGATAAAATCAAACGCATTTAGTCACAAAATGAGATAGCTATATAACTACCTTTAATTGCCAGTTAATAAAAACCAATTGTCAAAAACATCATCAACGCATTCGTCCAGTATAGCCAGATATGACATAGACCAACAACGGTTGATGTAACCTATTAATTATTCATAAATAATAAGAATAATTATTGGTATCGAGTACCTCAGCGAGTGTGATCGGTTAGGTAACGTATGATTGAAAGACTTTTGAAAAAAAAATGTCATAATACCAGTGGGCGAGTTTCGATTGAAAAGCTTTAAGTAGTATAATATCCTCTACGACGTTAAACACAAGTATAAAAAAATACTGTAACCTTTTTTTTTTTTGCGAGACTGACGTTTCGCGTCGACTACTGTGTATTTTTGATTTTCCACCTCAATGATATCAATAAAAAAAAAAAAAATCTATTACTTTATATTACCTTTACAGTATTCTCGTTTATTTTGCAGTAGCGACGCGGTGTATCGTGTGCTTGTCGTGATTTCATAATATTTATATATACCAAACAGTCAGGGGATTATGATTACTATTTATTTCGCCACCTAGGTGCACACTTATTATTACGTTATATTAGATGACTGAGGTAGGGCGATTTGATCGTGTGCACAGTGTAGTCACCACTCGCGTTATAATTAATAAGATAGTCATTTACGTGGTTAAACTTGTATTATATTGGTACCCATTATAATATAACGTAGTCATTCCGACGACGGGGTCGCTGATTTAGTTGAAATTAACCCAAACGTACTTGCTCGTCAGCTTTCTGCGCACGCGCCGACTTGTGTGTGTGTGTGTGTGTGTGTGTGTGTGTGTGTGTGCATAACCGTAACAATGAAAATTAACAACATTATTGTAGCACGCTGCCGCCTAACTAGTACAAATTAAGTACATCGTATTATTATTATTTTGCAGGGGTGGGTGAAAGAACATAATGTTGTTGTACTGTGTAACACTTTGCGCCAGGCACTTGCTCGAAATAATTTCAAAACTAAAACGACGACTATTATACGGTTAAACTATATTATTATTACTATTATTATTATAGACTCGCTGCAGTTGTCTTTAATTTTTCTTTTCGTATTAGACATTTTCGCCGTACATCGTAGATGGTTTTAATCATAAAGATAGGTACCTATTGTTTTTTTTTTTTCATATGAACGTATACCTACGCTTAGGACTAATTGAACGTTTCAAAGATTCCCGAGGACATTTTAACACCATCGCATCTTAATAATTAGTCGGGTTACAAGCAGGCCTTTTCTTTTTTAAGAGTGCAGTACGGCCTGCACATCGTGCTCGTAGAAAGTCACGTAAAGTTATATCATAACTTATAAACTAAAATATGCCGATTAAAATGTCACACTCTTAAAATAGTATGCACTGTCGATAGCAAACTACATATAATAATAATACTAAAAATGTTAATACTCAAAATTACGAATCTCGGTGACGAGAATTTTATTGGGAATGTTATCGAATTAGTTTATTTTACAGTTCTGTTTTAGATTTTGTAATTCGTATCTCGTATTCGGACATATATTAATAAATACGTGTGTATTGTTTATTTTCAATAATACTTCGACTCTCGTGTCGTATAAAATGATAGTCGATATTAATAAAAACAAACCGGTATTTATACAAATTGAAATGGACTTTACAATGAGTGTTTTTTTTAAATATTATCGATGTGGAGTTGTAATTTATTGAAACACTTTATAGTTTGTGTTTTGTTTGGATAAAATCGTGCAATGATTTATATAATTACTCGTAAATTAATTAATTTAAATATTGTTAAAATTAAACCGAGCTATGATAATTCTGTAGGTCATATTAGTCAAAATAAAACGGTCTGAACAGAATATGATGCTTATACAATTCAAAAACCAACCTCATCATCACTGAAGACCCCTGTAGAGTAAATGGTACAATTTAAATGTAATAAAATGTTTTCGGTAGTAAACCGTAAACAAACGACAATAATAATAACTGTAAGCGAACATAAACCTAACGACCAACGTACAGAATTTAATATATATTAATCGAATCTCCTGAACATATTTTATTCGTGTGTTACACATGCATCGTGATAGCGGAAACTAAATGATTCTATCAAAGACACGGGTTTTTATTTCCGTCTGCCGTCCCGTACGTCTGCTAGCCTCTAATTGGGTTTCTTTTTCTTCGCTCAAAATTACAGGTTTAACTCAACACACGGCTAGCCGGTACCATATATGTTGCGTGGAATGGCCACGTTTGAGGTGCCTATTCTAATTTATTTTTTAAAACGAATCGCATCTATGCTCTGCACGGTCGTAAATGTTACCTGCTCGTTCACATCTATGTACATTATTGTGCTGCGCACAACAATAATAATAAATATTTACCGTTGCGTTCCGCTTCTTTATTTAGGCACCTAACGTCGCTCTTGAAATTTCAAGTGTCGGCGAGGGATAATGTGATTTTCGAGTACCTATAAAAGTTTATTTTGTGCGAATGGAAAATGTAAACGGTCGATTTAACAGATCCCGGCAAGACTCAAATCTTTTTCTGATGATGACTCTATTTTTTTCGTTCTGCCCTGTTGTCTACAAGTGTGTCTATTATTATTAAAAAACTTTCCTATCGCTTACGTTTTAATGACATGCGTGTATTAATATCATGATTTCTCTCACGAAAATGTCGAAGAATTTCTGTATGAAACTAACATTAAGATATTGCTACATTTTCCGCTCGAAATTTAAAAAGTATGGACAAAAAAAAAATTATTTTTTTCTGACCATATGATTTTGACTGATTCTTAATGTTATCTGTATTATTATATAGTATGACTTAAATTCATTGACTATACAGAGCGAGTAACAACTGCAGAAAGCAATGAACAATTTTCAAAAGACAAATATTTGTCTTATTAGTGTGGGATTGAGTCACGTAGGTGATAACTGTTTTTTATGTTGTAGTGAGTCATCACATACAAGTTATGCGTGATGACGAGTATCATCGACATGAAATAATGTCAGTACCGAAATAGCTGTACTATCGAATTTCAAAAACAATTTTCTGCAAAATGTAGTCAATCGTCGTAAAACGAATAACCAATAACTAATAATATTGTTACTGAATGTGTATCTCGCGATTATTTCAAGTATCTATTTCTACACAGGTCGAATACGTTATATCTTTAAAATTGTTTTTTTTACATTTCTACGTTATATCTTTAAAAAATTTTTTTAAAACGCACGTGTTTTGCAGGTACGTCATCACGACGCTGTGCGGCGAGGCGTGCAACATTTCGTCGTCGGTGGTGGCCGTGCTCTTCTGGATCGGTTACTTCAACTCGACGCTGAACCCTCTTATCTACGCGTACTTCAACCGGGACTTCCGGGAAGCTTTCAAGAACACGCTGCAGTGCGCTTTCTGCAACCTGTGCCGGAGCCCGCCGTCAGACTTGGAGGCGCTGGACGCACGGAGGCCGTCGCTACGGTACGATGACCGCACGCGCAGCGTGTACTCCGAAACGTACCTGAACCACTGCGACAGGCGCCGGTCCAGCCAATTCGGCAGCAGCTTATGATCCACCGCGCCGCCAACACCCCGGCCCCGAATTTAGAGCTTTTTTCCGCACATCCCTCGGCGCCGCCGCCGCCGCCGCAACCTGCACCGACGCCCACGCCCCCCCCCCCCCGTAATCGCTGAAAAAAAACCCGCCATCCCCGAGGGAAACGAAAAAGAAGAGATCAAAAATCGGCCGCCACGATTATTATTAGTTTTATCGCACCCGCTTCGGCGCCATCATCGTATGATAATACCTAGAACGTCGTTGTTGTTTTATTGATGATGGTATTATAATGGTATTGATACCTATTAGACCTGACGATAATAACAGCGCGACAGTAATAATAATAATAGGTAATAATAATATTATAATATGCCATGTTATTTTGTCTATCGTCGACTTGGCAACTTTTCAGAAGATACGAGGAATTTGTTTTTTGTTTTTTATAATGCCTAAAAACATATTAAGTATTTTACATTTTTCTATGTGACTATCAGCAGTATTCGTTCTTAAAATTAAATTCCTTGCATATTCCGAGACGTAATATTACGCCCAGTTCAGAGCGATAAATTAATAATCATCGTCTATAATATTATAATATATTATAATGCGACTCGAGTGAGAAGCGTTCAAAATTTGCTCGTCATCGGCACTCGTACGACGATAATAATAATAATAATAATAATAATAATATAGATGCAGACTTATCATGATTCGAGTACGATTATACATAGACGATCCCCTCTTCCTCATCATAATCGTCCTCCTCCGTTGCAACTACCTCACGACAGAGTGCTATAATATAATAATAATAATCACTACAATCCGATCGTAAACTGTAGTTGAGGAGAAACGCTCGTCCGACGGTCGTCGTGATAATATCATTATCACAGTGCCGTGTGCTCGTCGAACCTGCAGGTGGTTTGGCGTTGATCTGTAATTACTGAGCCCCATCATGGACCTCCGCGTTGGCTTGCCACAACCACTCAAACGAATGAAGGATATCGTATTATTATTAAAATACAACAATACAACTAATATATTGTTCGAGAGACTTGTTCTGACGTGGACTAAAATTATAATTATCGTGATCGTTTTCGTTTTCGGACTAGGCGTTTTGCATTTTATTACGATTATAATATTAACCAATATTAATATAGTCACCGACAAGCGTTTCAGCTGCCGGTTCGCTATAATAATGCAATAATATTATGAATAATATATTGTGGACGCGCATCACGGCAACGACTGCAAGTCACGTGTCGACCGTGCGCATTTTAACTACCTAATAATAATATAAAGTACAACATAATCTCATATTCTGATTTTATAAGTTTTTCTACATTTTAATTGAATTAGAAAATAATAATAATTTGATTAAAATAGAGTACTCGTCGATGTCAATACGACCTGCAGAGTTTAGTGTTATAAATTTATATTCGCTTTTATCTCAAAGATGATAGTATTAATATACAGCGATATAATTTTCTATACGACGAAAGCAACAGTAATCGCCAGGGTGTACACTCACATTATAAACACCTGTAATATCATGGGACGGATACCTCGGGATACAGAGTTTTAAACGAAAACATTTAATGACAGTTATTCTTAACAAAATAAATTCCACAGTGTACCGTACAGCGAACCGTAGAAAATTACGAATAATGTACTAGGATAATGTGTTTTTAAAATGAATTTTACCTTCCTCCTGGAATTTTGTCAATTCAAAATAAATAATTTCTTAACATTGAATCCATATAATAATATACTACCGAACCCGGTTAAGAACAATAACCAACAAGACTGTATAATTTCTATTTCGTCTTTGTTACCAAATAGCCTTAGTGATAAAAACAATATAATTATATTGTTATCATTATATTATAATTTAACAGTAAGATGTACAATATTAAAACAAATTAGTAATAATGTAAAGATCGCTAACTTTTTACCGCTTGTTTTATTTTATTTCGAGATCGATAACTATTATTAAAACATAGATTCGCCAAAACTGGTATACTGTCGTTGACATTATAATATTACCTATTTTGGAACAGTGGTTGCCAATGAGTCAGTACTCAGTTGCATGGTAAGAATTGTACTGCAGTTTAATTTTTCAAGTTTCGACGTTTTTTGAGTCTCTTCGAATGAAAAAATAAATAAAAAAATAAATAATAATAATAATAATAATAACAATAATAATAGTAAATAAATCCAGTTAATGTAATGAAACGTTTATGAATAATTTATATGGAACAGACTCCGAAAAATTGATGAAAATGTGAAAATCTTCTTAGTTCAAATATATTAACATCTCGTATCGGATAACGTGTAAATCCAGCAATATTCATCTGATAAGTTCTCCTAGAGTCATGGTCAGACCGTAATTATTATACCAATCCATTTTGTCATAATGACGATTATAATATTATAATTTATCAATACAATCACTGTGGTCTGTGATACACTTTCATGGCACTTCATGATTAGCTGATGAACTACACTTTAGATGACTACGCCGAACTATACACAGTGTACCTATTGTAATGTGTACAACATACCAATTATTATTGTTCTAACTGCATACGTGTATTATACAATACTATGTTAACAATTAACTCGACGATTAGCAGTATATTGTTTCACTGTTGTCCACTGCACGCCAAGGCCTAGTTTAATTAATTTTAATTTAGTATCGTTTCCACGGTGTATAATATTGTTTTGAGTGGTCAATTTACAGTATGTTTTGGTAAATCAATGTGCACAAAAAATTATAATAATAATAAAAAATTACAACAAACGAGTATAGGTAGAATGCGAGGTCTCGGCGGTGCAATTTAATAACATAATTAATTGGTTATTTGTTGTTGCTGATTTTCTATTAAAATATATTTATGTTATTATGCAGTAGTGGAAATTAAAATCATCAATTTCTTTCCAGCGTATTGTAGGTTAGGCCGTTCGTCGTTCGACTGTTTGTCAAATATATTAAATATTGTAATTTGTTATTGTTATTATTTTTTTTTTTTACTTTTGGATTCGTTCTATGAACTGTACCTGTTGTAAATAATTGAGTTTGTTTTTGATAATCAATTTTTTTTTAAATAAATGATATAACAATTATGTATAAATAAATATTATAAATACCTACCTACATAACATTACAAGTAGCAATATTTCGGTGTTACAGCTTACTAAATATAAAGTATATAACATTGAGGCGGCAAAAATAAATCACTTAGTGGACACAAATTACGAAGAAATCCTCACTGCAGGAGATACCTACGTCAATAATAATATCGCGATGACGAAGAGAAAAAAAATGGACAGTATGAAATATTTGGAGCTGAGCTCTTTTTTCTGAGTAAAAATATAGGTACTGTATGACACTGATTCGTTTGTATTTGACCTGTCCTTTCTTCGAGACACTCGCTTGTAAAGCTAAAATAAAAACCAAAAAAAAAAAATAATTTTACTTTTATGTAATATTTTGTAACCACTTCAATGAAATCGATTCGTTTCTCTGCACGAAGAAAATATAACACAATTTACAATATATAGAGATCATATAATATACAAAGGTACACGTTAACACCATTATGGCAATATAGCGGGTGGGTACCTATTATTATGACGTTTGTAATATATATAAACTTTTAACGTTTTACCCGTACTCACGAATCCAAAACAGTCAAACATTTTTTTTCCGTCTCGTTCCCAACATTGCAGCAATGTTGTTGCTAAATTATAACGGTCGTTATTATCGTTTCTATATTATGCTGTACGCGAACTTGGACCAAAATATTATATATTGTATACACGATCAATTGTCTATTATAATTTAATCTATATATGCCAACCTTGTGTTAACGCAACCTTCATGCCTCCCACAAAACAAAAAAATCCCAAAAGCTTAAGTATTTATCGAAATCACGAAATAGAATATATTTTAATGTATTTCAATCGGCAAAATTAATTATTATTCATGGACGACGCTTTTAAACAGATTTTACATTCATATATTAATCGTTTTCAAGGACCGTTTATATACCTAGTGAAATTACTGTTCCTTCTTGTAACATAATAATAATGATATAATATTATAACATACAAATAGGTATGCAGTACGTTATAATACTAATATGTACATGTACACAATGTTTATGTTTATTTTGATAATTTATGTATTGTTTTGTCATTACCATTATATTAATAATAATTACTAGCGAAACGATCATGTAATACTATTATTATGCTATATAATTTAATATATGTATATTGTTTATGTACTACGATATAGTAATAATTATTATATTATATAATATATTTAATATTAGATGCAGACACATTTTGTACCTGAAAGTCCTAAACAAAATTGTAAAAGTAGCATTGATTATTAATTATTTATTTATATATACATTTTTACTACCTATATATACAATAAATATATAGTTACATACATGTACAAAATTATATCAAAAAGCCTATACATTATATCTTAAAAAAAAAAAAAATTAATAACAATAAGTATATTATATTATAATGTATTATGTGTATACTTTAACTACTATATTATTTATTATTAATTATAGCCCATTTATGACAAAAATGAACTAGAGTGATTCTAACAGATTTGTTATGTGTTAAGTCTTGCTTGAAATTTTGAACTATTGTATAATATAATATAATGATTAAATAACTACGTATTGAACGTATTGATTTTTTTTCCCCGGTAGTCTTGGTAGTCTTGTGCACTTGTGTCACATAGTTCTTTTTTTTTTTTTGTAAATCCCTGAAAGAATATTCCACAAGATTTAAAAAGAAATGTTTTAACAACTTTTTGTCATCAAAAAGACAGTTTTTCATATTTTCTTTTGAGAGAAAAACTTTTCTTAAATATTGTTTATGCACATTGCAAACACACACATACACACGCGCGTGCAAATTATTTATATGTGTACACTGTACGTATACATAGTTTTATTACCAATTTTTTCAGCTTCCTTATTATGTGTTATTCGTTTAGTTTCGTCAATTTTCAAGGAAAACAAAATCGTGAGTTATGAACAGCAATTAATTTTGTAAACTCATCAAATGTATTAGAAATAAGGTAACAAAAAAAACCTCAAAGTTCAACACGTACCAGTCAATTGTAGAGACATACATTGTCTTTTATCTACAGTATGGAAATATATCAATATCACAATATGACTTACAGTGCAAACTTATCTAATTGTTGTGATTCAAAAATGTACATAAACATACTTATACCAATTTTCAAGCACATACAAATACTTTGTTCTATTAAAAAACAAACAAATCCATTTTTTAATTATGTTATATTGTATATGATGTAATAAGTATATTTAGTTTCAATATTTAGAATCGAAAATTCCAGTAGGTATTACATTTTAATTAAATAATAATAATTCAACTTTTAGTCTGAAAATAAATATTGAAAAATAAAATTCAAATATATATTGGGACCTTTATTTATCTAAATAATACAAAAGGTAAGCATATGATGATTAAGATAAGCTATAAAATAAGTAATTATAACAAATTAATTTAAATCCGAACAAAATGTATACAACAATATTTTCGACAATTACTGATTTGTAATAATGTCAAATAGAAATTAAAAATAATTTTATTTTTGTGGAAGAAGCATTAAGATTAATAAAATTATTTATGATGTTTTATTATTCATTAAGATTATATGCACGCGTAATAATAACGGTGAATAAAACGTATTCAAAGTTGGTCGTAATTATTATTGACAACTACGACGGTAATGCTGTATCTGTCATCGGTATTTGCAACTACCTGAAATCACAAACATCCATGATTGTATCTCAATAATAATATTTTATAAAAGTCTCTAGGTGAATCCGGTAGAAATTATAATATTTATATTCAACGTAATCTGTTAAATTATCCGATTACTGTCAACGTTAAAAACCTTTTCAACCACGAAACGTTGTATGTTAGAATATTAACACTCAAACTGTCTACAATAAGCTCCGTTTTTTTTTTTTATCAAACAACCCAAACTTGAATTTTTGAAACAATCAATAGATATTAGATGACTCAAGTTACTGGTTAATGTATAAATTGTTTTGATTAAAATTTAACCCATTTAAATATTTAGTACATTAGTTATACGAGTAGAAACATGGACAGGCATTTCACATGTCATCCTTCTCTTGTGAACTCAACCACAACTAATGATTTATACCTGTTTAAAAGGTGATACAGATCATTCATTTAAGATCAAAACAGTATCATGCCATGTATACCGGGTATTTTGATCAAATTCAATTTATTTGACTTTTGGTGTAAGTACTCTGACAGTCACAATAGTTGTTTACTAGGCTGTTCAATTTGTGATTCCACTCTACACTCTGCGTGTATATTGGTCATTGGTTGCAATAAAACTAAATTTAATTTAAATATTAAATAATAATCAAAATCGATATTTTCTGAAGATGGATCCCACGTCCAAGGACATGCGATGCTTCTGATGTTAAAGAGGAACAAGACTAAGAAATAGTTAAAAGCCGCTGATGTGATCTTGTAATATAATATGCATTAAGGATTAATGACTGTCCAATTTAGACGTCAAATTTCTCTATCGATGTGTATGACAGCATGGTGGTAGCATATGTGCTCTGATAAACAGTTAATTCACATCCCAAAAGTAAAATCGATTTTTCCATCTGCCATCTGGCAGTTTAGTAAAATACCGTAATAACTTTGGTCTCGTTTTTAATAAGCCCTTCTATTTATCAATTGATTTTATATTCGTGAACAATACTAGTCCTGCGTCGGAACGCTACTTTATATAAACACATAGCTAATAAAGGATGCGGCTTGTTAAGAACTAGGACCTACTTTTATCATTTGATTTATCTATATTTCAACAAAAAAAAAATGTCAATGTGTTAAATCATTGAGAAAACCAATGTTCACACATGTACTGATGTATAACGACACTTTGGTTTCCTTTAATTCATAAATTTTCTTATTTTCTACGTTTACTCTTTTAAAGCAATCACTAATACTCTTAAAGTTGAATTAATTACCTATGTCAAGTAATAAGAATGAAAATATATGATGTCATCTCATACAGTGTAAATCGCATATAACAATAAACCAAACCTTTCAAATCCAATACTTTTCATTGTTATAACTTGATTGTTTGATACTCAAATCATGCAAATGAATATAACATTATCGTAACTATATATTTAAAAAAACATAATAATATGCGCGATTATAGTAATCAAAAAATAAAATCACATGAATACATATTTGCATTATTCAATTTAGACAACAATAAGAAGTGTTTTTTTATTTTTATTATCAGTCTAGAAGATTAACGTCAAACCCGCATAATGCACATACCAATAGTTATATACTCATATGTAAAAACAACAACTATAATAATTGCAGAAAATATTTTCACTACTTTGAAAATGTTTTTTGTTTCGTTTTGATTTAGCGACAAGTTGACATTATTTTGAAATGTAAATACCTAATGTAAACTGTTATTGTAAATCAACAAATTAAAAAAAAAAAATTCATAGATATTGTGCAATATTGTCTGTACTTTTCTATTTTTGTATTTTAACTTAATAATTATCATGCAATATAAAAAAAAACTCATACAGGTGCACTGGTACCTCAAGCATAATAGAATAAGATTATCGTTGAATATCCTAATTGTTTCTATCCATAAATTATCGCACGAATCATAACAACCACAACAGTACAATTATGTCATATGCAGGCTAAATATCAAGTCTAATCTCAATAATACAATGAAAATGTTTACATTTTTTATTCGTTGGATATTAGAAAATTGTTGAATATTTGTCGGAAATACTACCAATGAAAATACAGGTCATTTATATGATACTGATACAGTTTGTTTTGCGACTCCTAAACTTCACTTTTTTTCAAAGTGATAATAATAATGTATATGCACTTCGACGCTCTTTGATATTCAAATGTTCGAATTTAAATATATTGTTTTTCCTTTGTGAGTAACGAGCCATTATATGGGTTTGTAGCAGTAATCTCAAATGATGTGTTCCAAGTGAATTTTCAAAAACCTACACAAAAAGATTTATTTATGTTTTTAAATATAAATTGTTATCCATACCACACGCGTATACTATATTGTCTATATTGTGTAATATTTTGAATTTGATACGGTGCACATTATATTCTATAGAAAAATATGTCTGAACAAATAAAAGAACGCTTTGGATTTGTGCGAGACGTGGGTTAAATAAATTGGTTTCATAACGTCAAATGCTTATATTATTTTGTGGATGTGAGAGACCTACCTATTATAGTATTCATAAAACTAGTTATCTAAATTGTTCAAGTAGTACTCCACACAAACATAGTTTTGACATTTTGTACATATTTTATACTCTTTTGAATGGTTTTATTTTCCATTTATAATGCATATCTCGACAACTTATTCAA